CACGCCTGCCATCGTTTTTGGAAAGGCCACAAAACCTTCACTATTTGTTCCCTTTTGGCAAGGTGCAGAATCGCTTGCGCCCGCCACGCAAAACCGCATCTGAGCCTTCAAAGTGGTCCGGGCATGTCGTTTTTTTCAACATTTTGACCTCAAAACGTGATTCGCCCCACAACGGCGCACACTTTTTCGACATCTCAACTTCCAAAAGTGCTGTGGGACCGTCAATTTTAGCAGTTTTGACTTCGACATGTGTTTCGCGCCACAACGACGTACACTTTTTCGACATCGCAACTTCCAAAAGTGGTCCGAGCAAGGTGTGTTTTGTACATTTTGACTTCGAAATGTGCTTTGCGCCACAACGGCGTGCATTTTTTCATGTTTCATCTGGCCAGCTGGCTCCGCACCCGCCGCTTTAGCGAGCCTACTTCTCGACCCTCCGGAGCAAATCATTCGAAAAATAGAGTGGTTCCCGGTTTTTTACCTTTTCGCGCGCCTGCCCATTCTTTCTTCTGATATTTTCTCTTCTCTTCTCTGATTTTTTTTCTTCCCTTCTCTTCTCTTCTCTGCTCTGCTCTGCCCTTCCCTTCCCTTCCCTTCCCTTCCCTTCCTCTCCCTTCCCTTCCCTTCCCTTCTGAAACCCTTTTATTCCTTCGGTATTCCAGCTCCAATAGCATATATACAGACATGTAGTTGTGATGCAGTTGATGTGCAACACGCACAAATCTGAAGTGTTCATTCGAGACGCTTTTGGGTCAAGGAAAAGTTCCATGGTAGCGGAGCTGTGATCGGCCTACCTTTGGGTGCTGTGAACTCCAGATTGGGACTTGGGCCCTAATCCCAAGGTAAGGGGCCAGGAACCAAGCCCCAAGAGGTTAGGAGTAGGTGCAGCCTGCCTCATACAGCATTCTGGCCTAAGGGCTCCACTTGCAACTGCTTACAATTGGTGATTGGAGATTTTAGCGCGATTGGTTTTCATTCAGCCTGGACATCTTTGCACTTCATATTCTGGACCTGTAACCTTCTGGCATTGGTACAATTCTGCTGGTACGGGTTTGGCAAGTTTACAGATTTGCCTCAACTGGCTTTTCGCAGTTGAGTTGAAGCGTGAGTTGCAGTTTTTGGAGCACCAATGGCTCAACAGATGACAGGGGCTCAGATGATGGCGCAGTCAGTGCAGCAGGCGGCACAAGCTGCAGCTGAGGCCGCAAAGGCCTTGTGGGAAGTTGGCGTTGCACAGCGCCAAAGTTGCTTTGCAGACGCCAACAAAACAGTTCAATGTCCTCGTGAGTTTGGCAGTGTGGTGTCATCTGAGGATCAGAATGGATGGGCTGACTTGTCCGTTTCGTTTCTTCAATGGCTTTGCTTTGCAGATTCCAATTGCACGTCTGACTTGGCCTATGTTGAAGAACACTGCGATACTGCTGTGTCTTTCAGTGAAGCACCAGAAGGCAATGCTACCAAGGCCAGGTCGTGCAAGTTGCATGCAATTCTTGCAGGCATACTCAGCAACCGACCATTGTGCCTCCTTAGACAGATCCCTTCAAACAATGGCTTGGAGACTTGGAGGCACCTTCACAATCTGTTCACTCCCAAGACAACGGCAAGGAGCATGGCACTGCGGAGTGCCATTCTGAGCTTCCCTGCATTCAAGAGTGACAGAACCCTTTTGGAACAAATTCAAACTCTTGAACGTTTGGGCGATGAGTATCAAAAGATTTCAGGAAACAACATTGCTGACGACTCACCACGCTCATCAGAGCATGGCCACGTGCGGTCCAGCAACACATACACCTTGGTATGACAAATGCGACTACGTACCAGGAAGTCAAACACAAAATTGTGGCCTATGAGAGGTTCTCCTCCACCTGGACACGTGACAAGATTTTGGTCGAGTTTATTCTTGGTGCCGTGACATCATATGCTAGTCCTGGAGATGCTGGTGCCAGCCCCGTGGAAGTCAACTTGGTTCAGAAAAGAAAAGACAAGAAAGGAAAAGGTGCAGACAAAGGCAAGGGTAAAAGCAAATCCTTTGGCCATGGCAAAGGCAAAGGTCAGAAAGGTCAGGATTCTGGAAAGGGCAAATACAATGCAAAGGGTCAGTACAAAGGCCAATCGAAGGGCACTGGGGGCAACAATTCCCAATAGCGGATCAGAATCAAATTCGTGATGTTGGTGAGGCCTCAGATACGGCTCATTCAACTTCAGCTGCCTGCGTTAGCAAAGGAACAGGTTCTCAAGCAGTGCGTGTTTTAACAAGACATCCAATGAGCTGTCAGGTGAGGCATCTTGAAGATTTGACAGTGCACTCAAACCCAGCTTCTCCTTGCAGCAGTGTTCATGTTTTGCGTGCTTTGAGTGAATGCACCTGTCATGACATGACAGCCACAGATGATGATGGCCGTTGGACACTTGGCCCTTCAGGTGCACACCATGTTCGTGCAGTCAATGCAGTTGAAACGTTTGAAACCCATGTGACTGAGTGTGACATCATTCTGGATTTTGGAGCAGGTACCAGTGCTTTGCCTTTGAAGTTCAGCTACATAGGTGATGAAGGGCCCAAACCCGATGTGAATTACGTTGATGCCCAGGGAGCCACGCTTGATTTGAAGTCCACAAGGTTGGCAAACGTTCAGTTTGGGGATGTGATTTTCAAAGAGAAGTTCATTGTGTCAGACATCACATGTCCCCTTCTTTCTTTGGGCGATGTTCTTCGGGTTGGTTGGAACATAATTCACATTGATGGCAGTCCACGTTTGGTGAAAACCCCTTTGGTAGCTCCCAGCTGAGATCTAGGAGCTCCAGCCCCTGGGGTGCATGGCTATTTTTTTAGCCTTAGTAAAAATGACGATAGGTCCCTTGATTTTATCTGCAGACATGCTAGATTTTATCTCGATCATAAGTGTGAGATAAATTCTAAGAGGCTGGACCCCCCTAGGTCCCCTCAAGGGTACTCGCTTCCAAAGAGGACCCAAGGGGGGGGTCCAGCCCCTTGGATTTTATCTCACTCCAATTTCAGGTCAGGCACCTTGATTTTATCTTTGGAAGGTTGGGCTCATTGAATTTTATTTTCATCCTACTTGAGATTTGGTACCTATCTTATATTTTCAAAGGTTCAGCCCCTTGATTTTAGCTCCAACCTACTTTGATTGCAGTTCCAACGAGATTTAGGAGCTCCAGCCCCTGAGGTGCAGAATATATGTTTTAGTTTTTTCAGTAAATTTGAAGATTGGGCCCCAGATTTTAGCAGCACACTTGCTAGATTTTATCGTGGCCCTATGTGTGAGATAAATTCCAAGGGCTCCGACCCCCCAGGGCCCCCCCAGGGCCCCTCAAGGGCATTCGATTCCAAAGAGGATTCAAGAGGGGCGAGACCCTTGGATTTTATCTGATCCCAACTTGACCATTGAGGTTAGGCCTTTTGATGTTATGAAGGTTGGGCCTTTGAATTTTATTCCAAAAAAGGCTACCAAATCCTGGAAACCAACACCTCGCCTTGTCCAATCTTTGCTCTTGAAACTTGGAGGGGAAACCTGAAAATAACATCTGTACCCGCTAACCTTGATAGATGAATCTCTCTAAGAAAACTGGCGTTAAAGGTGCGCAGAAAGTGTGTTCTTGGGAAGATAGTTATGACATGTTTATCAACTTTATCTCCGTTGAAAACCTTTCAAAGTGGCCAGCTTATCTGAGGCATGCAGAAAAAATCGATGGCTAAAATCCAGGAGGTCCATGGTTTCATAAGACTCACAGATAAAACATGTATGTCCTAAATATTCACAACATGCCCAAAATATTTTGAGGGGCCTGACCTTTGATCATTTTTGAACGTCCAAAATGCTCCAAAGTATTGGTTCCTTTGTCCAAGTTGAGTGTTAGCAAAAATGTTTGGTTTACGAATGCTAGACTTGGGCCCCTAGATTTTATCCATTCAGAAATGCTCAAAAGGGGTATGGGGGGGTCAGGCCCCTCTAGAAAACAGCCACTGGGGTCTACTATTTCAGGGGCTGGACCCCCCCTAGGAACAACCAACCCCGCTTGGTGAAGAATGATATGAAAATCGAAGTGCTGTTCAAAAACAATTCGTTGTGTGCTCATGGCCGCATTTCACTCTTGAAAAAACAAAATGATGCACAGCAAGACCATGTTGTCAGAGCTGTGCAGCTTGGGATGCCGCTTCGAACTCTTGCAGCAGGCTGGAACCGTGTCAGCCCTCACCTCTTGGCCATCAAACCCCCAGGAACCAAGCACGTTGATACCACGCTTTGTCCAAGTGATGAAATGATGTGGCTTCGAACCACCCTGGTTTACAGAGATGGCATCGGCTGGGAAGTGGATGAGTGCTGTGAGTCAGTTTCAGGTTTGCAGTCCAACTTGGAGGAAGACTTTGTGTATCCAGAGCAAGTAGTTGAGGTCATCACACTTGCCCACAAACATGCGATGCAGGATGAATTCTTGGGTTTCTTTTTCAACGACAGACCTTCTGACAGTCCAGTTGATGCTCAGGAGGATGATGCAGTTTCAAATGCATACAGCGCTCGAACACTTGCTCAGGATCCAGTCTTTGAAGAAACTCCTGTTGATGCTGCTGAGGGTGAGGCGCTTGATGAGGACCTGCAAAAGCCGAGATGGTAGTGGTCAGCGTATTGGGCTCTCACAAGTTACTTACCCCGCTAGATGGACAGCTGCCACACAGTGGCACATTTTTCCTTCCTTGAATGCGCGGTTGTGCAAAAGGGGCTGCGGTCATGAACTGCTGTCATGCCATGCCGTCTCTACCTAGTGAACTGCCTAGCTATCCACAGTAGCTACCTAATTCCTAGGTTTTACCCCTTGCAGTTTGCCACCCTCCTTAGAGTGGCATGGCTTACTGCCGGGTTTTTTTGGTGAGACGTAGCTATACCTCTCCTGGCTAGCTGTGGCCAGAGAAAGGGCCGCCACTGGAGCTGCCACCTTCGATCCCCAGAAATTGGTTCTCGGCCTCGCGCCACTGCTGGAGCTCATTAAGGACTCATCCCATCAAAAGGATCTAGCGGAGCTTCCCGCTCAGTGGCGGGGTCTCTCGTCAAGAGCTCCGGGCCGGAACTGGAGATCGGCGGCTCCGCCCGCTCGGGCGGTGCTACCCGCTCAGGCGGTTCCTCCCGCTCAGGCGATACATCCCGCTCAAAGGCGGGGCTGTCCGCACTGTGCGAAGTTGACTCACCTGGCTCATCTTGGCTGGAGTCTGGGTTTTGCCCATGAATCAGCCTTTCTTCGCGCCTGCGCCATTCGATCAGCTCCTGGAGGGTCATGTTGCTTTCTGCCCCTCTCTGTACCCACTGTTCCTCTGACCAGCGCTCGATGCGACTAGGAGTCAATTCCTCCTGCCGGGGGGTTTCCGCCGGTTGAGGCTGCGGGGCTTCCGCGGAACCTGGCCGCGGGGCTGCCGCTGGCGCATTCACCGTCTGGCTGATATTCAGCTGTCTACCGTCTCGGTACGCGGTGATGTTGAGGCGCACCGTAACACTATCCAACTGAAGTTGCACTTCGGCTCCTTCAACCTGAACGGGCTGGTTTTCGCCTTCAGGCGGGAATAAGCCAGTCTGTGATCAGCACTCCTAGCTGATACAGCTTCACATAGATGGCTAACAAGCCTGTGAGCGCGAGGATGTACAGGACAATTGGATTGATCCACTGATTTCCTTGTCCCTGCGCTCGCACTGCGGTGATCTGGCTGAGAATCACCAACGACTTGATGTAGTTCACACTGCCCTTTGTTTTCGGGGCGGTGCTACCCGCTCGGTCCTTTCTGTTATCGATCCAAGCAACGCTAGCTGGGACCGGAGTCTTCCAAGCATGCTGCCTGGTCACAGTCGAGACCTTGACGGAGATACGCTTTGTGGATGATAGCACATCCTCTCCGTCGTGAGCTTCGCACATACCCAGTCCAGGTAGGGCTTGCTTTACCTCTGTCCCTGACTTGGGATGTTTCGTCAGAAAGTTTGCACAGTTGAGCGTTCCTTTCACCTTTCCCAAAGCGAGCTGCTTTGACTGGATCGCTCCCTGCACGTAGAACTCACAGACTTCCAGGTGCCTCAACTTGGCTCCTGGACCTATGCGTTTCGCTGCCTGCATGGCCGACGAGCTGTCGGTCCATAGGCGGGGCTTCCCCCACAGTTGGCCAAAGTCTAAGGTAATGAGATCACGCAAGTAGATTGCTTCTCTGGCTGCTCTGGATACACCTCTTAGTTCCGCATCTGGGCTGCTAGTAGCTGGCAGTCCGGGTTGCGTCTGGGTTGTGCAAGCAACCACAGCTCCACAGACTACTGCCACATGACAGTCGGTGCTCCTTCGGCTCTCGAGGCACCCTGCCCAGTCTGAGTCGGAATACAATTCTATGCTCCACTCGCCAGTCGCACTTGGCGGATCACATGTTACCACCCTGCCAACCGTGGGGTGAGTTTGCAGGTATGCTGCAAGTGTCTTCACAGCTTTCATGTCACACTGCCTTGGCTGCGACATGTGTCTCGCTGCTTCCTTCACAGCATATTGTATATCTCTGCGATCCAAGCTCAGGTAGATCGCGGATCCTACTGCGCTGCGATAGCGTTTTGCTTCTTCTTCGGACAGGGGAGTGGTTTCCAGAAGGTTCAATTGTTTGGACGGAACCTCACTCCTGTCACGCGCGGAGATACCCGCTGCGGAGATCACGGCTTGCCTGTGCTTTTCGTCTGGGATGGTGAGGATTGCATCTTCACTGCGCACTTTGGTGCGTCCCAGGTATTCCACTGCCGTTCCCTCCTTTTCGAGTTCTCCCGCTTGCACTCCGCAGTGTCGCGGTAGTTCTTGTTCGAAGAGATGCGTTAGGGCCTCTGAAGGTCCTGCTGCGCGGATATCGTCCACATGGTGCAGCAGTACAATGCCAGTCTTGGTGCACCGGAAAATGCACGGATCTTTCTGACTTCGACCGTAGAGATTTCCATCCAGCCGGAAACACATTTCCTTGAACCGATCCTTGTACCACTGCCGATCCGCTGGGTTGACTTCTTCGAGCCATTCGAGGAAGAGATCCCACCATTCGATGGGTGCTCGGAATTGCTCGGACATAGACCGGTTTGCCTTGTGCTGCGCCCCGGTCCCTTCCTCTCAGGAAGGCTGAAACTATGTCTAAGCTCCTCGTGTAGAACTTGTTCATGAGGGCGTATACTTCTAAGACATTGCGAGACTCAGGAGTTGGCGTTGGCACGAAAACATCCAACTCAGCCGCCTGCTCTTGGGTGTATCGCGCCTTAACGTCTGCGCATGTGAAGCGCGACTTGTAAGTCCCTCGCGAACACTTGTCTACCCATTTGTGACCAAAAAGCTGCGATCCCTGGGGTATGTCTTTTCTGTGGATGGGAGTGAACGCTCCTCGCTCCCACAGCTTTCGCAGTTGTGCCTTTCGGGCTTTGGATACCTCCTCAGGGTCGAGCATCTGATCGACGAATTCTGTCACATTGGAGATTCGCTGGATCGCTGTTGGGTTGTTCGGTTCTTCTGAGTTTCCCCATTGCTGGATTTTCTCCCAGATCTCTTTGGTTGTCAAGTGCTGCAAGATCCCTGCTTGCCGGGGCTGCTTTGCATCAGCTTCGCGGTCTTCAGTTCTCCTGGATTAGCCCTCTCTCGTTTCCCTCCTGTCCCCAATCCAGATGGACTCATGGGTTCATTGGGAAGACTTTGCAAGTTTGAGGACCATCCCGCTCCCCGAAAGTGCGGTGGAGACCCGCTCGGCCCGTGCTCGGGCGGCGGAGGATCTGCAATCTCGGATTCCGCTGGCGTTGTTGGAACGGGACTGACGTCTGCGGGGCCACCGGCTAGATCTGGAAATTCCTCCGCATCCTGCATCGGTTCCAGCTCTTCCTCTAGCTGTGCCGCGGCTTGCACCACGAGCGCGTCGTGGTCGACGTTGTGTCCGTCCACTGCCAGCGTCGGATGCTCCCGATCTGCTGTCGGCTGCCAAGGGGTTCCCTTCATGGCCGCCATCAGCTCTGAGCTGACCTGTCCCTCCTTGGGCAGTCGCCTTATGGACCGCACAGCGATTGCACCTGACGCTGTCCCAAGCACATTGCTGTCGTCCCTGTCCAGCTTTCCAAGCCACACTCCTTTGATCCATCGGCGTTGGATCTTACCTTTGGGGCTCGGCACCTTGCCAAGCACTATTTCTCCCAGCGTGGCTACAGGATGGTTGTAGTCACCTCCTGTGACCAGCTTGTATGGCGTCATGCCATCTCTGCTGCGTGTGTGGTATCTGGCTATGAGCCACGCCGCGTGGCGCACAAGCCATGGCGTGAGGTTGCTGCTCACGTCCAGCTCAGGATGCCTCTGCCTGACATCTAACCACAGAGTCCGGATTTGCGAAGCTGTGAATCCGTCCATCGACTCCACAGTTCCTACGTTGCAGACTTTGGAGGAGCGAAAGCTGAGAAGATTTGCACGGCGGGTGGTCGAATATCAAAAGGCTCCTTCGCCGCAATTGCAAACCAAGCTGTTGCGCGATGCTCCGCTTTTGCACTCGTCTCTTACTGCGTTTTCTTTATCTGATGGTGGTTTGGCTCCCGCCGCTTTGCTTCTTGCAGATGAGGTGGCCAAAAAGGCGTCTCAGCGACGCCTTGCTGCTTGGAAAGAGGACATTCAAGAAAATGTTGCGAAACTGGGGAAGTGGGTTCAGCAAAAACCACCTGATCCACCTACAGCAACACAGGTCGATGGTCCTATTTTGCCTGAAGATAAGGCAAGACAGGAGGCAGCTGCGTGGCACACGCATTGGAATCCGGACCACCTCCCACATTTAGACCAGGTTTCAAATTTGTGTTTGCAGCTCAACAATCAGGTCGACCCAGTCACGCCTGAAAGCATTCAAGTGGTTGGGGCTGATTTGGCGCGTTCTGCGTTGAAAGCTAAACAAAAAGCGGCTGGTATGGATGCTTGGACTGCGGCTCATTTGTGCAAGTTGCCGGAGTCCTTTTGGAATCACGTTGCAGTCTTGTGGTCGGCGTGCATGCAGTGTGCGAAAGTTCCTACAATGTGGAAAGATATTCGCATAGCCTTGATTCCAAAGGCGGCCGGGGGCCTGCGCCCACTTGCCATCACGACGGTCCTGTGGCGCATCTGCATGAGTGCAACTTTGCAAAAGCTCCGACCATGGATACAAGAATGGGCCTTGCCTCAGCTTTGTGGCGGCCGTCCAGGAAGAGGCATTATGGATGTTCATGAATTGCTCTACGAAGACATTCGTGCTGCCAAACGTTCAAGAGTTGATTTTGTTGGCTGCAAGGCCGATATCCGTAGGTGTTTCGATTCAGTTTGTCCAAAGACTGCACTTGCTATTTGGCGCTGGTTGGGTGCTCCGGCCAGTTTGTGTGACATGGTGGAAAATTTTTACACTGACCAACGCAGGTGGTTTGCCTGGCAAGGCATTTTCCATTCAGAGCCCATTTGTGCTCGGCGGGGGCTGCTGCAGGGCTGCCCGGCAAGCCCAGCCTTACTCAATGCGGTGATGGTAGTCTGGGTGCGCTTCGTTCTTTTGCAAGAGCCTCGTGTTTCTCTTGCAGTTTATTTGGATGACCGCACAATGTGGAAGAAAGGTGTCAACGGCATTCACGTGGTCACCAACGCCATGCAGGCAGGTGCGCAGGTTGATGCAATTCTGGGCATGGAACTCCATCCTGACAAGTTAAATAGTTTCACAACCAAGCAACATTTGACGCCTCAGCTGTCACAGATACAGGACGTGTTGGGGGCTCCTTGCAGCAAGTTCACGCTTCTGGGTACTCAGTACAATTTGGAGCGTGCAGGTGCTTGTGTTAATGCAGAGAAGCTTTCCTTTGACATTCAGGAGAGGTGTCGCAAAATCAGGTTGGCAGCGAAACGTTTGGGCACCCGCAAGACCTTGCTGGGACAGTTGGTGATCTCTTTGTTTGCATGGACAGGAGCTTTTCACCACTATGATGTTGATACCATCAAGAGTTGGACCTCCAGTATTGAAGCGGCGGTCTGGGGGCGCAAGCCTGCCCCAGGTCGCAGTAGATTGCTGTTCTGGAACTCTTTGGGCACACCGCGTTTGCATCCTGCTTTTGCGCTTCACTTTGCTGCAGCCCGGGCTGAATGGCAGCGCCAGTGCCGCTTGGCCATAGGTGTGCCCGCCGCTGTTTCGCCAGGCCCAAGGTGGAATACTGTTTGCAAAGACTGGAATTGGCGTGTTGAGGGTGGTTTGTGGATCACTCCCGTGGGGACTTTGAAACCAGGGTGGATGTCTTCTTCAAGCTTATACAAAGCTGCTGCTGCAGCATGGCTGGCTTTTATGTGGACGAAGGACACCAAAACGGAGGGTCCTTTACCTGAAGGTAAGTTGCCTGTGTTCCAATTCCAGGCCAATGTGGCGCATGATTTGAACTATTGTGGTCGCAGAGTCTTGACAGGTGCAGCAGTGGATGGGAGAGTTACTCAACGTTTGGAAGTCGACTTGCAGTGTGATTGTGGTTTGAGCTCTCCTGATCGTGAGCATTTCACTTTCTACTGCGAGGCAAATCCTTGGCATGGTGATCTCAAAACTCCAACTGAAAGGCGGTTGCTTGTTCCTCTTGTGGATGCTCCAGCTGTTCTTCCATTTGAAGATATGACGGCCGACCCCATTCTGGTGGCTTTTCTACAACAGTTTGACCCACATCAAACGCCGACTTTGGGCTTGGATGGAAGTTGCGCAATCGCTCCAGGGTGCGAACTTTGGCAGCGTGCCAGCTGGGCTGTGGCGGCACATCTTGGGCCCACGGTCAATGGGTTGGTGCATGGTTTCGAGCAAACTCCTGCTGCGGGCGAGAGAGGTGCACTTCTTCAAGCCTGCTTGGCTTCCCATGAAGCGAACAGAGCGGTGCGCTTGCTGATTGACAACCAAGCTCTTGTGCAACGTCTTCATCGTGGCATGCGGCTTGGTCAGTGGGGTGGAGATCTTTTTCCATACTGGCATTATATCAGGATGCTTTTGGTTGATGGCTCTTCTTGTGCTTGGATTCCCTCGCATAATAAAGTTCCTCGATGGCGCCCACCCGAAGGGTGGCTTGATGTTTTGCGTTGCCGCATGCTCAATGCCAAAGCGGATGCTAGCGCGGCTGATCTTACAGGTCAATTTCGGCAGGTGATTGCTACTTGTTTGTCACAACACAGAGAGGCAGTTGTTTGGGCTGGAGAAGCTTGGAAGGCGCAACTAAAGGGTTCTCTTCCCTACTGGCAAGTTTTGCTTGAACACGAACCACGTCAAAACAGGTCGTTTGAATGAGCGTTTGCTGCTTCTTCAGCTGCATGGGTGGTACTTTTCTTGGCTTGAACTTGCCCTCCGGTTTGTTCAGTGCAAAGAGCTCCGGCTCTGCGTTGGCAATTTCGGCGTCTTAACTACTTCACTTCGGTGAGGAGCAGGTTGACGTCCTCCTCCAATCCAATCCAATCCAATCCAATCCAATCGACTCCACAGTTCCTTGGCTCTGGTGTTGCTTCGGCGGAGCTTCCTGCACAGAGACCTTGGATGCGCTCACATGGCGTTGGATGCTGTTTGCCAGGGCTCTTATGGCGGGCTCGCCATCGTGCTGGAGGATGATCTTGTCATACCTCAAGTTCTTGAAGTAGAGGTCGATGTTCTGCAGGCAGTATTTTGACTGAGCCACCTCCACAGACTTGTTGGGGAGTTGAAGTTTCAATGGCCATCCGGTGCCGGTATCGGTTAAACACAAGATGGTCACAAGACGAGATTCGTTTTCTACCTCTTCTTCCCGTTCTGGAGACAGAAAGAAGTAGTCCATTTGGACCACCGAGACATCCTGATCTCGTTCTGTCGACTGGTCTCGCTTGTGCTGGTCTTGGCGGGATTTCCCGCTCACACATTCCTCGCACCACGCTGGGAATGGCAGGTGAGTTAAAAGCCGATGCTGCTGTCGCTGTTCTTCTGTGGGGCTTTCCGGTTGAGGTAGCCCTCTTGGTTCAGGCGGCTCCGGCTCGTCTGCCGCTTCCTCCAAGTCGGCCAGCAGGCCGGGATCTTCCGCCTGCATGGCGGCGTCCGCTTCTTGCTGGGCGAACTCTAGCACAGCGTTGGCTTCCTCATCTTCCTGGAGTGCGTG